CGTACGTTAATCCTCTGTTTCTGGTTTGTTCCCTGATCATTGGAACCAAGTACCAAACGATACAAGTGCACATGATCGAGACACTCCTTCCCAAGAAAACCAAGAAGATTAGAACCAAGATCGCTGTCACGGGCAAGAAATGATTCGGTCTCGAAATCTTCTTCAGATTCTCGTTCAATACACAGCTATGTTTCTGCTCTGTTTCTGGCTCTGTTTTCTTTACTTCTTTTTCTTCATTAGCTTTTGGTTCGGTTTTTTTGAACTTGAAATCATCTTGAACATCTTTCTTCTTACCTGCTTTCTTTGTCTTGATCATAACAGGTACGCACTCTCCAGAGCTTTTGAACACAAACCGGACAAGAGGTGGTCCATCAGAGTCGATCCTCTTCGCGTAAATGCTCTGTCTCTTCTCGTCGAGTTCGGAGAGAAGTGCAGAGAACTTTTCAAGTCCACGATTTGAGTAAGGGTTTTCTTTGCTTCCTTTCTTCGATCTCCTCGGTGACGAAAACGGACTCACCATTTTTCTTGTTTCGATTCGTATTTGGTCCAATCAACAAAATCCTCTGTTTCTTGAGAGCTTGAAGGTTTTTGGTTATGGAGGAGGTGTAGTTAGAATTTACTAGTATTGAGAGCTTAATGAATATCTTAATGAGAATTGTCTTAAATATAATGTCAATTTTTTTTCATATAAACAAATGGATTGGTGATTTGACCAGATCTCATTAAATGTTTTTATAAATTGATCTGATCACGTAATTTAGACCATTTTCTTTTGTTCCTGGGACGAATAAAAGATAAGTTTCCAGCAAAAGAAACGTCATCACGGATGTATTGTGGCTGATCTTTACTAATTGACTTTCTTGCGGAAGAAGCTGGAATATTTTGTCCATGATGTTGCAATGGTATTTTATTTATATTTTAAGTTTATCTTAAGTAATTGTTAATTTTGATTGAAAAAATGACAAGTGATTTGGAATTTCTGCTGAATTTTACAAAATTTGGAATTCAATGACGTTTTGTAATACAACAAAATCATGTGATCAATGGAAATAGGAGGGTAACGATACTATTATCACGTTTTGTGTGACTTGTTTCTGCCAATCTAAAAACAAGGGTTTGGTACAATTTGGCCTTAAATTTAGTTTGTTATATTTGGTTGAGAGAGTAGATATTATTAAATCAAAACCTGAACTAGTTGGTTTGTTATTTTTAGGGCTTATGAATTGTTGAGCAAGGCTAGAAAGCCAATGAACACTTTAGCAACAGGCAAAACATCCAATTGCTTTTTAATATTCGATCTAACAAGAGCCTTGGATTGCACCAGAGGGTTCGAAGTTCTGAAAGATACAATCAAAAGCATACAAACAGAGCTCTCTCTCTATGTACATATATGCTAGTAATGTTACAGACACACTTAAAAAGCTTGTAATAAAAACAACACATAGCTTCCACGGCATCACGACTCGCTTAAACTACAAGTTATTCTTCTTCAAGACTATATAGAAAACATGATGAAAATCAGACATAAGTAGCACAAGATCTCTGTAAAATACCCCGTACAAGACTTGAGGTCAGACTCAGAGCTCAGTGTTTAAGGTTGAAGCTTGTGGGTGGTAATGAAGCATCTCATTCCACATCGTCTCTCTTATCATCTCCTCTCCCAAATCCTCATCTACATCGAGATCAACAGGAACTTGAGCCGGAGGGTTTGCATTCGGGTCATACAGAGGCGCCATGTAAGGATGCTCAAGCGCCTCCGTGACACTAATCCTCTTCGACGGGTCAAAAACAAGCATTTTCTGAAGAAGGTCGATGGCTAAAACATGTGCTCCAGGGTAAAGACGGGAGAAAGACATCCCTGGTGAGAACGGGAGCGATCTAATGTATCTTTTAGCTTTCGGGTTGTCTATAAACTCAAGATCTTCATCTCTTTGGCTTCCGAGAATGTTGACAATGAGTTTAAGCTGGTTCAGGCATTCCGTTCCTTGGAATATCGGTTTTCTACCAAGCAGCTCGGCGAAAATGCAACCCACAGACCAAACATCAATGGATGTTCCGTAGTTGTCACAGCAGAGGAGAAGCTCGGGAGCTCTGTACCAACGAGTCACTACATATTCAGTCATGAATTGCCCCTTGGTGTTGCTCGTCCGTGCAAGCCCGAAATCGCATATTTTCAAATCACAGTTTGCGTTGACAAGAAGGTTACCGGGTTTCAAATCTCGGTGCAGGATATTGGCTGAGTGAATATACTTGAGGCCTCGAAGCAACTGCTCAAAAGCACAAAGCAAAGTAAAACTTAAGTAGAAAGCAAGATATACACAAAGCTTGAAGCAATATTCTCAAATGAAACAATCGCAGCAATAACCATAAGTGAGCGGGATCAATCGCATACCTGGAACAAGAAGTACTGGCAGTGATCATTACTAAGAACTTGAGAAGACTTGATAATCTGGTGGAGATCCGTATCCATAAGCTCGTAAACTAGATACACATCCTTGAAGCTCCTCTTATGAATTGGCATCATGACATCTTTCAACGCAATCACATTCTCATGACGAAGATGGCGTAGAAGCTTGATCTCACGAAGAGTCCTCAAAGCATCGATCCTATTCTCATACACATTATGAATCTTCTTGATAGCGACTTTCTCGTTGTTATCAGTGTTAACAGAGGAGCAGACTATACCGTATGCCCCACGGCCAATCGGTTTGATTGGCATGTACTTAGTATCGATCTCGAATAGATTTTGCCACATTGAGAAGTAATGCTTTCCTTCATTCCTAATCCCGTTAGGAGGATCAACCGGAGTCGCCATTTTTTTCTTCTCCTTCTTCATCACAATCAACAAACCAAATTGG